TATATATATATAAAACCGACTCACCTCACACCTGACACTCCCACTGCTGTTTGTCAGCAGCCACTCTGCGCCCCGCCCCTCTCTCAGACAGCCAATCAGCAACAAGTTGACCCGTGGTGGAACCTTTTGGCCTGGTACAGAGAGCTCCGCCTCCCTCGCCCATGCTCGCTGCTGATTGGTGCTCCAGGACAGGTGACTGACACAGGCCAGGTGCTGCTGGGAGACCAGCTCCGAGACGGACACCAGTCTGGAGACAGGGTCAGAGGTCAAATCAAACATTATTGAACCAAAATATAAAGTGGATGACATCCGAGATCCTCTACAGAGAAGATGTCTCACTCTGTGGGATGTGATAGAGCTGCAGAAATACTGAGTTACTGCCTGGAGCATCTTCTCTCACAAATGATCTTTGAGTGAGCCGCTGCAGCTGGTTAGTGATTATTATTCTATTAAATATTGATTATTAATGGAGCTGAGTGAACCTGAGTCAGTCTGATGTTCAGTGTTTGAACTCCTCTCTAAACTCTCATCAAGACAAGAAAGAAAGAAAGAAAGACAGAAAAAGAAACGAGAGAGAAAGAAAGACGGGTGTAACTGATGTAAAGTTCTGAAAACACGACACAAACGTCCACATCACAGGACGACAGAGACAGACAGCTGTAGTCGTACCTGTAACTGACAGGTAACGTGTGTGTGACGCTTGTTTTCTCCTGCAGCGTCTTCACCACACACACACTCAGAGACACAGCTCCTGAAACACGACATGTGACGTCATCATCGTCATGGTAACATCCCAGCAGGAAATCAATGTTCAACTTCTTTAATAACCAATCAATCGTGAGACAATATGGATCAATATCATTCAGTAAAATCAATAAATATGATCCATCAATATATCAAATATTAATCAGGGTAATCATTAGAAGTGTTCAACTTCAATGCAGCTCTGTGTCTTGCTGACTTAACTCAATGCATGCTGGTTCTAACACAATGCATGCTGGTCCTAACACAATGCATGCTGGTCCTAACACAATGTTACCCTGAGAACCACAAGTCCTGCCTCATAGTTCAGTCCTCCGGTCCGTCTCAATGCACCTGGACGTGTTCTGACTCATCCTGTGTTGATCTGCTGGCGGCTGCAGAGGTGGAGTAAAAACACACAGACCGGCTCGCCCGCCATGTTTTATGGTCACGTGACCTGGTGACGTTTTGAAGCGCTGGATGAATTCAGACAAAACTTCTAACCAGCATGCATTGTGTTATTGAGTCACTGCTCAGATGCACCTACACATCCTGCACACACTGGAAAATGATTGGATGGCTGACCTGTCAATAAGTCGTCAGCAGCAGGAGGGGCGGGGTCGGTGAGCAGTGGACACACCTGATGTGTGATGAAGCTGAGGACGTGTTTTAACCAGCAAACCTCCTACAGAGAGAACAGAGAACTCCCAGTGTCAGTGAACACACCATAAACAACATGTCAGTGAACACACCATGCGTTACTTTACTTTCTGATACTTTCCATTACAGTACTGTTACAGTTAGTTACTGTGTGAAACAGTTACTTTCTGACAGTTACTGTTACAGCACATTTACACTTTGGGCATTTAGCAGCGACTTACAATAAGTACATTTGTCACAGACAGAACTAATGTAACAGTTACTTCCTGATACAGATACTCAGTTACTTCCTGATAGTTACTTTTCGTTACAGTTACTTTGAGATACAGTGAACTGACCGAGTCACCACGCGCGTTCATGTACTCCACAAACAGCTGCTCCGAGTTCATCTTCTCCGCGCGACGACTTCACATCTCCTCCTCGAAGCGTGTCGCTCCTCTGTGACGTCATCAGACCGCTGTCGTCAAACCCCTGACTACGGTGACAAGAGAGACTCAATCAATCAATCATCGATCGATCGATCAATCAATCATCGATCGATCAGACTCGCTGAGGTTTATTTATTATCTACTTTCCTGCAGAAGATTGATGCAGTGGCGCATCAACACATCAGGTGGCAGCACTGCGCCTTGACGTTGGTTGGCAAGAACAAAGAAGAAGCAGATGAGCAAGAACCGTGTCACAGCGCCACCTGCAGCTCAACAACCGAACTGTTATTTGTTGATCTTAATGTTATATATTATCATCATGAAGTATCTAGGATGTGATATCTGGACTGTAGTATCAAGAATA